TAACAAATCGAGATGTGAATCTGAATAATAAGGGAAGTGTAACATTGAGCTAGGGCTCTCCTGCACAATCGAAACATAGGGGCATAGATATTATTTGTGTTCCAGTTTCACATTAATGCCTTGCAGCAGGTTCTCAGAGACAGGCCCGGATTATATGGGAAACTTTACAGGCCAAAGCAGATTTCCAGGGCTCATCAGGCTTATTTCCTTTTTAATATCTCTATAAGAAGGCATAAGTTTCATTACATAGACATTTGAAAATGATGCTATCTACAAGGTAGATGGAACTTTTCTTTTCTTGTCTCCTCAAGGTAATCATAAATCACATGTATATTATAGACTTTGAGTTATTGAATTATCAGTTTTTACATACATTGGGAATTGGTGCAAAATGGAGCTTCTGTCCATGGTAACTGTCTAGGTTTTTTTCCTACCAAAGAGTCTCTTTGGACAACAGCTTGATGTTTTTGTAAATCACTTCCAGTGTTACACTATGTGTAAACAAGAGATAATCTCCAGGCAGTTTAGCTTGGATTGGGTTAAAGTCTTTGTGGGTACTAATAGACATGAACAGCCTGCTGTTGTATTTCCAGATATAAAGCTGATGCTTTCTGCTTGCTCCCCCTTTCTCCTCTATAGATATAAGAATGAAAGCTGCAGAATGTGCATGTTTGTTACAAAATCTTTAAATCTAAGCTCACAAAAAGATGACAGGAAATAGATGGTTATAATACTAAATTTGATTATTTATTTTTAGAAAATATGATTCTAAATGCTGTTTTTTTAAGGTTTAAAAATTGGTATCCATAATTCCTTTGTGCATCATCTTTTACACAGGTTCTTAATCATCCTTTATAAACAAGTGGCTCCCAGCATGTAATGTGCCATGATGAGGGTCATATAGAAGGGGGTAAATGGGGTGTTAATGCAGGCGGGGATTCACAATTACCCAGCTAGATTAGCTGCAAGAAGAGGTATGATAGTAAAGTGATTTCCTAGCACGTATGTGGATCATGCAAACACATAATCCAATCTATATAGTGTATGCTGGGAAATTATTATTACAGGCAGTATGTAGCATTGTGAGTGAACATCGCCCCCTCGTATATGTGGCCGTGTGTTGTGCAGGTGACGGGATAGAAGGCTAACAAATGAACAGACAAGCAGTTTGATCCATATCTTGGCATCAGCAGCAGAATCCCTCACCCCTCAAGGTACAGGCATAACAAATATTTACTTGGGTGGAAAGAAATATTTAAACACCATGCAGAAGGATAAGTTTAATCATGCAGGAAATGTGTCCTCATTTTTTATTTCTTTTATTTGCATTCTGAAATGTATATCTATTTTATACCTTCCTATGATGTTACAAAATAGCTGTGGTCTAAGTAAACTATCCCTCTAAAGTAATATATACTTATATGGGTGGGATAGTCTTCCCTGTAGAGTTGAGTTTTCAGGGATTGCCTAAAGATGGACAGAGTAAGATAGCCAAACATATTGGGGTAGGGGTTCCAGTGTGTGGGAGAGGTTCTGCATAAGTCCTGAAGGCTAGCATGGGAGTGGGTGGCGAGGGAGCTAGAGAGGAAGAGGACTTAGGAGGCGCAAAGTTGAGTGTTTGGGTGATATTTTGAGACAAGATTGGTGATGTGGCTGTGGATGGCTTGGTATGTTCGTATTTTATTTGCTGGGCAAGCAGAAGCAGGTGGGGGGATTGGCAGAGTGGGGTAGCAGACAATGAACAGTTGATGCGGTGGATGAGCCTGGCAGCAGGATTCATGATAGACTGAAAATGAGAGCCTGTGTAAAAGTTGGTCAATAATGAGGGAGTTGCAATAGTCAAGGCGAGATATATCAAATGTATGAAGAAGTATCTTGGTGGTGTGATTGGTTAAGAAGGAGCATATTTTGGAAATGTTACAGATGTTAAGGTAGCAAAATTTGGACAGTGATAGGATGTGGGGCCAAAAGTGCAGGTCAGAGTCCAGGATTACACCTAGCACCCTGGCATGAAGGGAGAAACTGATAATTGTGCTATTGATCTCAATAGAAAAGTCTGGGGAGGGGGCATGGGGGGAGAAAATATAATGAGCTCTGTATTGGAAAGAATGAGTTTTGGAGAGTGGCGTTACATCCATATCGGTAATTTAATAATCCACAAGGAGGCTTTAGGGGTGAGTTTAGGAGTAGAGAGATCGATTTGGGTGTCATCAGCAAAGAGATGGTATTGGAAGCCACAGGAGGTAGTCAATTGACAAAGGGAGGAGTTTTAGATAGAGAATAGAAGGGGTCTGAGGACAGAGCCTTGTGGGACCCATATGAAAAGAGGAAGAGGAGAGAAGAAGGTAGAGTTGTTGGTGCCATTAAAGTAGCACTTAGATAGGTAGGAGGAGAATCAGGAAACAGCAGAATCTTGTAGGTCAAGGAAGTAAAGTCTTTTGAGGAGGAGCGGCTGGTCCACTGTATCAAAGGCAGCAGAAAGGTTAAGTACAGAGTCATAGTCATTGATTTTTTTTTGTAGTTAGTAAATATTTAGTGAGTTTTTAGAAGGGCAGCCTCTATGGAGTGTTGTGGGTGAAATCTAGGCCATAAGGGGCTGAGAAGATTGGTATCAGTAAGTCGGGTAGCAGTTCAGGCAGTTGTAGTCTAGGCGACTTGGAGGTAAACAGGAGCAAGGAGAACTTGAAAAAAATTTTGTTATTCAAACCAGTGGGGTCTAGCAAGAGCTTTTTTTTTATAGATGTTTAATAGACAGAGGGATTAAAGAAGTGGGTTAGAGAGTGTAGAATAGAGCAAGAGGGTGACCAGAGTAGTTGTGAGGGGATGGGTCCATGGTTAGGTGGGCATCAGAGAAAAGTTGACTAAACTACTCTTTAGTAACAGGGTCAAAATTGGAAAGAATTAAATGTCGTGGTAGACATGGTATGGTAAGTGGGAGAGATCTAAATAAAGCAATAAAAACCTGACAGGAGTACTAAACCCTTACAACTATATTAAAAATGTTAACAAAGTTTAACTTTATTGGGATCCATCAGAGATTACCATAATCTGTCATTAGTTCCTGGCCCCCATGTGTGACAAACCTAATTTACCATTCAGGATGTTTACCAATACTCTTTAGGAGTTATCTAGAGAAACCTGGTCCCAAGCCAGACAATTCCTTCATCGTTCCAATGTCACTTGCAAAGGAACATCACTGGTAACTAGTGGATAAACCTACCAATTGACAGGTTCTTCTGAACTTTATATTTATCCTAACAAACATATAGACCTTTTTTTGACATTGAGTGTCTGTACTCTCTCATGGAACCTTCCACCTGGGCTTCTTAGTGCTTTCTAATGCACCATTTGGCACCCTTATTAAGACTCCTACCAAACCACAATTGTGTCATTATTACGATACATGGGCTTAACTACATCTAAATGGGATAATTGTCTAGTTATGGTTGATAAATTGCACCTGTGGACCTAATGTAAAGGCTTTCCATAAAAAAACAAACATATTTAAAGCAGAAGTGTAGGGTTCACATACCTTCCCTTTTTTCTCTTTCCTACGATCAACATGCAATTAAAATATTTCAAACAAATCTGGTGGTAGGGGCCGCCGAACTACTGCAAACATCACATCACAGCAATCAGTGAAAACAAGTCCAAAGCGCTAAATTCGACCAACAGATGAATAATACAAAACGAGGTTGACTAGGAGGGCTGCCCCACTTCAGCTTGGGAAACTGCAACACTGCGAAAAAAAGGAAAGAGAAGGGCGCCCACCCTAGTGTAGAGGGTTTTTAATGATTCTAAGTACAAATACAGAATAAAAACATAATCACAAAAGTGGATCATAGGCTCATCTTTATGCTTTTATTGATCCACTTTTGTGAGTATGTTTTTATTCACAGCACCCTGCAACAGAACGTTTTTTAAAAATAGGAAAGAACAAATCCCCAGGATATCTTTACATGTGCCTGCTTCTTCCCGCTGGCCACTGGGTGCTGCAAATGTTATCTATGCAGCCTGCTGTTTTTGACTGGTTGCCCACATGTCTAAAGGGATGCCGGTTATGTGTTTTTTTACATAAAGATTGTGAATGATTGATGGCAGAGAAAGCTTATAGCTGTGAGAGGGGGGCAGAAGACAGTACAGATCAATGGGACAAGTGAAAAGAAGGTGGGCTCAAGAAGGTGGGCTCTCATGCTGCTGCAGCTTCAGAAGATTATATTGTACAGATGCAGGCTTGCAGGGAATTGAGAGTATTCACTTTAAACACAGGAGTGGACTTGCCTCAAGTGTAGTAAAAAAGGTAAAGCTGGAGTTCAGCTTTAACCATAATGTTGTTGGGAAGCAATAGGAGCCATGCTGCCCCTGTGCATGTCTTCACCAATCACAGCTATTGTATGCTGATAAGGAGAAGTGGTTACACACACTTCCTAATGTTATTTCTTCCACATCTCCATGCCTGTTAGGGGCATGGAGACCTATAATGTTTGTTTTATTTCAGGAAGTTGTTTTTCTGACACTGCTTTGCATTATTTTATGCTAGATGTTAGAAGCTGGATATCTTTCTGCAGTGGTTTTTATTTTCCCTTTTTGTTGGTAAAACCCAAACCTGTCACATGAATTTCTTATTGGAAATGGTCATCTGCTTATGACTTGCATTTACTATATGTTTCTGTTCAGTTCTTCCTAGGCCTGTTACATAAACATTTAAGCTTCTTACACTGTGAAAATAATGAAAAAATAAACCATGCAAATTGTATAACCCATTCTGTGTTTTCTAGTTTCAGCTATTTGAAGAGAGTCCTTTAATTGGAAATGTAGCTAAATACATAAACATATTTGAGAGATTAAAAAAATGTCATATTTTCATTGTTCTTGTCCCCGTCATTTCCATTTTATACGTTTATAAAAGTTTTATTTTGTAACTTCATAGTTTCTTTCTCGCTCTCTATTACACTGGCATGCTTGGTTTTTTGCTTATATGCTTATTTTTGTCATTGCAGGATAATGTGACGTTATTTTTACGAGGTTGTAAAGAACTTGGCTTAAAAGAATCCCAGCTGTTTGACCCAGGAGATCTGCAGGACACTTCCAACAGAACAACAGTTAGGTGGGTGATTGTTTCATGAAAGCAGAATGATGCTAGATGAAGATAGTGAGGGGGAACAAGGCATCTGTTTCCTGGTTGCATGCGTTCTGAAAAACTGCTAAAGCACTTTTCTCTTTTGATGAAAGGATGGAGACAAATAAGCCTCTCCATAAACAAGGAATGGCTTCTGTTTAAATGCCATTGTTGTATGATGTTTGGCAGTGTATATTTACTTATTTTTAATAAAAGAGAACAATGAGGTGAGTGATTTTCACTCAACCTCATAGTTCGAGCCGACTTGTGACAATGAAACTGTCACACGTCGGCTCAATAGATCGGGAAGTGAGCGAATACATACCGTTGCTCGCTCACGTATCGATCATGTCCCTGCAGAGAGCCGTGACTATCCCTGCTCCGATCCTCCAGCGCTGACTGGCGGAACGGACGAGGAAGGGGGCGGGTACAGCTGGCTCTGCCTCTAGATAGGCAGAGCCAGCTGTCAATAACGCAGTTGGGTGGATCTCGACAGTAATGTCGGGATCCGTCCCGGCTGCAGTGGTCCCAGTCCTCTCGTGACCCAAGCTACAGGTTGCGGTATACTGAGCTTTGGGTCACTGGAGGACGCTAGTTTATGTCCTCCCGTGACCCTGAGGAGAACTATGGGGAAAAGCACTGACCCCATAGTTCTCCTTTAAGTATTCCTGAACAATAGGATATTTTATTAGAATATGCATTTACTTTTTACTTTAATTCTAACTATAACCCACGAACAAAAATATCCATTTATTTTGCTGTTGGAGAGTAACTAATACGTAGCACAGTGCTCTCTGTCATTGTGCTCACCCTCTCCTCTGAATCATGCCATTGGGCACTCAGTAAATCACGGATTGCATTGCATTAGAAGAGCTTAGTTTTATTTTGTGGCTCAGGCCTGCCATCTATGACATGGTGAGGAGAAGCCACAGACAAGAACAAAAATCAAACCATCTCCACATGGACCCCGGCAGTTTGGTATATCAGAGATGTCAAAACAACCAAGCTTATTGTAAGGAAATTGACTCTATTCAGAGTGATTATTAAAATTGAAGTCTGCCATAACGTTTTTATGACAAAGCTGGGGTGCAGCAATAAATACCTGACAGACACTCTAACTCCCTTTTATTCCTTCCCCCATAAGGAAATGTTTTGAGAAATTACTCAGATGGCAGTAAAAAAAAAACTTAAATAGTGTATTACAACATGTTTCACCCATATTAGGGCTTCACCAGGGGTCTGTGCATTATTGGTGAAAGTGATTAAGTGCTCATTGTCCCCAAATGTCTAGATTGGCACAATGAGCACTTAAGCACTTTCACAAATAATGCACAGACCCCTGGTGAAGCCCTAATAGGGGCGAAACATGTTGGGCAAGAGTGAAAAGGGAATTTATTGAAGGGAGGAAGAAGTGGAAAGAATCTCTAGAAAGCAAACATATAAACCCCTGCAGTGCAGGTTTAGCCCGCACTGCAAGGGTTGGCTACTTCTGCAAATGTAATTCAGCCACCAAAATGTAATGTAATTCATCCACTAAATCGAAAGAGCGGTAGACTGCAATAGATTGTATTTCTGTTCTTGGGTTTAGATCCACTTTACTGCAGCTCTGCATTCATGTATACATTATTGAATGTATTGATTTTAAATGCAAGCACTGTAAGTATCTGATTTTGACTTGATATAGCATAGCACAGACTGTAAAAGGGAGAAGCACCACAAGGAGTAGAGCTCAGACTGAAGGAGGAAGAAACACCACAAGGGGTACAAATAAGAGTGATAGAGAGATGAGCTCAACAATGTGCTGCTTCTCCTTTCACTGTCAAGTCACAGGCTGTGGAAGGGACAAGATCAGTAAAGCTATATAAATCTAAAGTCTATATATTTAATTTTTTTCTCTGTCCAGCCTTGTGAGTTAAACAAGAAAAAAATGCTTTATTTCCCGCATTCATGCTAAACGGATTAGCATAGATTGGGAAATCCTCTCACCAACCCCCATAACCCCTCCCCTCCTGTGTCCCCTGCAACACTTAATGGTTTCTCCTGCTGACCACTGCCTCACTACTGTGTCCTGTAACGACATAGGCATCAGTGGGAGGAACCATTGAGCGCCGGGGACACAGGTAGGGTTGCCACCTGTCCCGAATTCACCTGGACAGTCCGGGTTTTGAGTCCTGTATGTCCTGTGTCTGCGTTTCAGCTGGCCTGAAACGCGGACACAGCATATACAGAACTCAAAACCCGGACTGTCCAGGTGAATCCGGGACAGGTGGCAACCCTAGACACCGGAGATGGACACTCCTGCAAGTGTCGGAACAGATTTCAGGTGGTGATTCTCCCTGATTAAAGAGGAGTTTAGCTTCGTGGTAAGCAGGACAGGTAAGCATTTACAGCATTATTTATAGGTACACTTTTTTTTAAAAATATTCAGATTAGCAACAGAGTCACTTTAAAGTTGAACTCCAGACAAAAAGACATGTAAACAGCTAAGTGCACAGATGTAAGAATATAAATAACGCTCAGTAGACTGGGCCTTTTTTTCCCCCCTTCTCTCAGTGAAGCAGTGGGGATTGCATTGGGATACACAAAAGATGCAATGCATGGTACGGGGTTTTCCTATTTTTCATTGGGGTGGAAAACCCCTTTTATAAGAAAGTCTTCTTCTGCTGCTGATATTGTCCATTGCCTAACCTTTGTCTTTATAGAGGGACTGGTTCCATTACGAGTAGTTGACTGATTGTCTTTCATGGCAAGAGGTGGGAAATAAATAGAATCGTGCCTTGGAATGTATGCTCCATACCAGCAACTTTTCCTGGCGCTGTGTCAGTAAATACAATCTGCCTAATACCACATTCTTTCTCTTCACAGGATATCAGACTGTAACCGGAAGCTACGAAATGTGAGTATTACATATCTGAAAGTAATCACAGTTATGTGTAATGTCACAGACCTCTTGACTTGAAATATGAATGTGAAGTATGTCTGATTTTTATTTATCGGAAGTATAGCATAGCATGGTAGAAAATGTAAACTCAATACAGATTCATTTGTTTCCTTTTTTAGGTGCTGAATAGAATGTGTAAGGGTTAGATTCTTTGATAGGTTTTTATTGCTGTTTCCCTCTTTTCTCATCCGGGTGACCATACATCAAACGATACATTTTATATTATGTTATAGTATGTATTCAGCAAATGAATCTGCACGGCTGTATATATTGAGTTACACACCAGGACCTATAATTAACTTCACCCTTGAACCTGCCGTGCTCTATCTCACAGCACTGAATAATCTAAATCTGCAAAAGTCACTCATATATTAAGGTGCCCATACACATGCCGATTATCGTACGATAATCGCGGGTGATCCCGCGATTGTACGATAATCAGCAGATGTATGGGAGGCGTGCAACCGGTTCTACTGTACGGTCGCACGTCTTTTGTCTTCCGAGCACGCTCGAAAATCGTACGATTTTCGGCGAGTTAGTGGCGCACTCGGAAGACAAATGCCGAACGGGCCGGTGTGCGCAAGTGCACACTGCCCGCTCAGCATTGGAATCATCGGAATGATTCGCAAGTACGATCTGCCTGTCCAAGATAGATCGGGCAGATCGTATGAGATTTTAATTACCTTACAACCATCGCACAAGGAAAGTAGTGCGATGGTTGTAAGGTGTATGGCCAGCTTTAGAAATACTTTTTATTACAGTTTATTGTGTACAATTATGGTAATTGAGGTCAGCTGTGGTCTAACAACATAGAGGTGACACAACTGTACCTTGCGCTAAAGTTTCACCAGTGTACAGGAAAACAAACACTCATATGCAGTGAATGACCACATGAAAGAAATTCTTCTTTACTTGTCATTCAAAGATGGATGTTTTTGGCGCAGCCTGTGTGTACAGCTTGTGGTGGCGCTGAGAAAGCCACTTCTTATTACTAGAGCAGTGGTTCTCAACCTGGGTGACCTCAGGACCCACATTTGTCCTTGGTCCCAAGTCGCACCACACTGGAACACACAGAATCGCAGCATCGCGCATCCCAGAGAGGGCGATCAAACTGTGGGCTCGAGGTACATTTGGAGTGTAATTCAAATGAATAACAACACAACGCACCTCCCGCATCATACCGCACCGTAGATGCAATTGCGTGGTAAAGTGCGTTAATTGCACAGGACTGTGCGATTAACACACTGTACTAGTGTGAAAGGGCCCTCAAAAATACTGACAGACACAATCCCATACACACTCAAAATATTTTTTTTCTTTGTTTTTAAAGATCCACCCTGTCTTTCTACCTTACGAGAATTGGAGTAGATCCCTCGGCCTGGGGTCCAGTTTGGGCTGCTGTAATGTGACGGAGCTCCATCCATATGTGCATTGCTTGTACAGCGCCCTTGCGTGCCCTGTAGAGGTGTTGGGAGCCAATTGCTCAGCAGCCTTTGATGCCATTGCAATGGTGGTGTTTGATTGTGATGAACTTTTAGCCCTGTAATGCATTGCTTGGTCATGTTAGAGCACATTGGTTACTAGTGGCAAACTAGCTTGTTGAAAAGTTGTGATTGTGGTCTTCATGTGAAGCAGAAGGTTGGACCTGTAAGCATAATACAGTCATTAGATGACATCACCATTATACTTACAGCTATGCACTGTAGGTCTTCTGGTCTGATTTTCTGTAGCCTTGATGGTAGAGTTTGCCAGATTCACAGGAACATAGCTCTGGTCCCAGCTGATACTTCTGCAACCTATTATAAAGAAATACAGGTGCTGCAACTGCTGACCTCCATCTGGAAATGCCTGACTGTCATATGACTTTTGGCTTCATTACTTTGAGTCACTTTGAATATGTCAATCAGGAACGTCCGAGTAAAGTCTTAATCTGCAAGGGGATCCAGCCAACTAGCATTTTCAGAAGAAAAGGGTTAGTAATGGCAGCCTGCATGTTTCTATTGTGACAGATGTACTTTTAGGGTATGTACACATGAACTTTTTTTATTGTCATAAAATGAGGAAAAAAGCCTGAAAGAAAGAGTGAGCTATTTCTGCAGTTGTAATCCTCCTTTAATCTGTCTAGTCCGTGTTTTAATCTTGTTTTCAGTTTTGTTTTAAACTCACACTTTTAACCTTTCAAAATACTTGTAATCCTACATGTCCTTTTCATGTACTGTAAAGAGAGGGTACCCGCTGCATTAAAATACATGTATTATCCAGACATTGGTTGTTTGCATGCCCATTGTGAGCCCATATCAAGCAATTTCTCTCATCTCCATGACTGATAGTTGTTTATAAAAATGCACCATGATTGCTAAATAAAAATACATGTGAACAATATTTGCATTTTGCATATATGTAGTGAAATGCAACATTGTAATCCATATACAGGTGAAACCCGAATAATTAGAATATCGTGCAAAAGTAATGGCAGTAATTGCTGCAAAAGGGGCCCAAACCAAGTGCTGAGTACATATGCATGCTTGTACTTTTCAGAGGTCCGATATTGTTCTATGTACAATCCTTGTTTTATTGATTGCATGTAATAATCTACTTTTTTGAGGTTGTGGATTTGGGGTTCTTGGGGTTTTCATGAGCTGTAAGCCATAATCATCACAATTATGACAAATCACGGCTTGAATTATCTTGCTTTGCATGTAATGAGTCTATCTCATATATTAGTTTCACCTTTTAAGTTGCATTAGTGAAATAAATGAACTTTGCACGATATTCTAATTATTCGAGTTTCACCTGTACATGTAATCGCAGTTCCATTGGAAAACGTGTGGTGTGATGCCTGAGTAGTGTCATTGACTATAAAGGTAGAGATCTGACAATCCATTAGGTGGAGTTTTTAATCACTTTCACCAATGACATACAAATATGAACTGGAAAGACAACATTATGCTATCCTATCTGTATCATAGAGAAGAAAAGACAAAAATTGATTAAAAGCATACGTAAAAGACTTCCAATTGCATCCTGAAGTTTTATATCTTGCATTCTTTACAAGGAGTAACCCTTTAAACTCTATTTTTTGACATTCTGCACTTTTGTGATTTGGTATGCGAGTCTGATGCGTTTGAGATGTGACTGGAGTGGCATTTACTCCTCAGTCGTTTTGTCTAGTGGATTGTCCTCCACAAACAGGTATCATTTTATCTTTAAGATGGATGGAGCGTTTCCTAGCTTGCTCTTAATTTCGGCTAACCCTCCTGACAAAGCAATTACACATCTACTGCCTGATCTGGAACATATTGGGAACCACCCATTTTGGCTGCAGGGAGAGAACTGTAGAAGTGTCACATGCCAAAAGCTGAGCAATTATTTCTTTGCAGTAAATCGTATTAGATGATGTGCCATAACTCGTCCCTCAAAGTTCATTGGGGCAAATGATTTTCAAAGCAGAAGCTGCGTCAGTCAGAATCGTTCATACCCTGCAAGGCCAGATCCTGACTGAGCTGTCATTTGCTGTGTAACTTTCCATACTGGATAGGACTATTTCTCTTTCAAATCAATGTTCACATGTGTCAACAGGAGGGTTTTTACAGAGGGATTGAGCGCTAATCCAATTGACTGTAATTCTCTGTTGATTTATGCCAGAAACACTAATGGATGTGATTGTGGGGAAAAGGCCAGCTTGAACTAAGCCTGCTCATTGGTATTCCAGTAGGGCTTATGCCAGGGCCTGCTGCTGCAATTGCTTTTGCTTTGCTAGTTTGCAGCACTCAGAGAGATTCCCAAACCTTACATGAAGAAAGCCCACAATTTGGTAAACAATAAAGGCAAGTAGGGTGGTGGGGACTTCATCCATCAGTACATGGCAGGGTTCAATGAATGGAAGGTTAGAATCATTTAAAATATACATCTAGTTCATGCACTGAGAATACTGTTATTGATATCCCAGAGTTTTGTTTCAAAGATTGCTTATTACATTTGGAAACTTACAAGCTGATAATGGTTATGTTTGACAACTACTGACTAGCATCTTTGCAGCCTAAACCTCCCTCATGTTTTTATATACGGTACACTGCAGTATATGGATATAAATACGAATTGGTAAACTAAACGTGAGATTGTACTTCATCATGGAGTGAGTGTGGAGCGGTGGACTACTTTACAACATACAAAAGTAGCCAGCTTCCAGAAGGAAGGACTTTGTCAGCATGAATGAAGAGATGATTTGAGGATCTACAACCGAATGATACACAAATACAGTGGCGTAACAACCGGGGGGTAACCAGTGCGGCTGCCCCTGGGCGCAGAGCTCGGGGGGCGGGGGGGGAGCTGGCCACCGGGCAGTGACAAGCGGGACCCGGCGAATGAAAGGCTGCAGCGGTATGGAATCCCGGGCGGTAAGTTGCTTTCTAAATTTAGTCCTGCTTTGCACAAGCAGGACTAAATGTAGTGTGGGGAAGCCGACTGTTTCATTACAAATCCATCCTCATACAACCCCCCGCCCCCGCCCGCACCTACCTCTCTCCTCGCTGGCTCCGTCCTCCCCCTGCCGCTGAGTCTCTCTCCTCACTGGCGGCCGATGTGGGGAGCACAGCGGCAGGGTTTAAAAGTAAAACTCCCGCTCCGTGTATACAGTGAGAAGGGAGAGCAGCTTTGCCCTCTCGCCTATCACAGGAGTTCCAGCACAGTGCTGTGCTAGAACACCTGTCCTGGAGGTGATGGGTTCAATAAAGAGAACCTGTCACCTCCAAATGCTATCACATAGGGACTTGTTAGCTCCTGTGTGATGGCAATAAAGTTAAGTGAAAAAATTTGATAAAAAAATAATTACATTGAAAATAATAAGTAACAAATAATAAGAAAAAATCGATTAAATGAAAAAAATAAAAAGGTGATTAAAAAGTAACAAATATAATTGCCCACTTGCCATAATAACCAGTTGATTGGCAGGCTCC